CCCCCCCCCCCCCACCCAAAAAAAAAGGAGAGAGAAAAGAACCCTTGGTCTACACCAAACTAAAAACCCTACTTGAACTACTATGGGATATTGAATATTTTGTTTTATATATTTATTACTCCTATAATTGTTTGGTACATTAAGTCTATCCTTTCTTTTAGTTTGATTAGGTTTAGCTTTAAATCCTGATATGCTAAACACATTTCATCTTTAAGCATTCAGAAGAAATATTCTACTAACTCGTTCTTTTCTGAGCCAGCCCACTCTGAAGGATATATTTAGCGTCTTCTCACTTTTATTATATATATATATATATGTATTCTGCGTGATTCGAACCTCTAACATACCAATTGGCGTTTGAAGTTTAGCTTTAGTTATGATTAGAGCAAATTTGATGCGTCATATATACGCTATTTCTCTAAGCTTTGTTAAGGATCAACTAATCAAACACTTAGGACCCAAAATAATAATAATAATAATAATAATTATTATTATAATTGAATATTGCAAGCTGCTTTTTTCTTCCATTTTTTTATGGTAGACGTTATGAACTGTGTTGATAGTGTTAAGTGTTGAACTCTCTCTCCCCCGTCAGAGAGAGAGAGAGAGAGACGGAGGGAGGATGTACTTGATCAAAATGTGTATATCTCACCATTCTTGAGGTAATTGATATTTGATCAGTAACGATTTAATTGGTCCTACTGAAAGATTTCTATTTGAACGTTTATGGATTATAATACAATAACTTAGGCATAATGAATATGAAGCAAAGTATTTAACATGTTGACGTTTAGTTGCTCTATCCGAGCTTTTACATCTTTCGCTTTACCTATTTTCACAATATGTAGAACGAGAAATGCTCACCGAGTCCAAGTTAAATAAATGGATCAAGGTTAGAACCGGAATTAAAATGGATTCAAAAACGTTAAATCTATCTTGTTCGAAAAAATTAAAACACATCAAAATGGTACTAATGGTACTTAATAATAGAAGGATTTGACAAAAAATATGTAAAATTGTTCCTCCTAAAAAGATTATTCCAAAGTAAATGGACAATATATATAAGTATAAAAAAAGACTTTAAGAAAGTGAGGAAACATTTAGTAAAAGCTAAAGGGTTTCAAATAATAAGTATTATACCCTATTTATGCGTATCTTTAATTGAGAAGCTTAAAATTGAAGAAATCCCTATGACAAGCGACTCATGACAAAAGAAAACATTGATTATTAGTATATCTAGCAATCAGCTTTTATGATCTTTTTATGACAATTGAATTGATCGGTTGATGGCTATTGTACCAAACCTTAGAGCAACAGGATCTATACCTTTGTTCTTCAGTTATCCATCAATGAACTAAAATCTTATATTTTCTTGGTGATATGACATTTGGGTTATTTATTACTTCCTCCGCCATTAACCACAATTTTTTCATACGTAGTACTTTTAATCTGATTTCTAACTATGTATATATTTTATTTAACAGTACCAAAATTAAATATTAGAATTATATAAAACAGAATATTAAATAATTTGACTCTTGTATTTCGAACTTTTTTTGTTCTTTTTCAGACGTAAATATATCTTTTCTTCTTAGGTTAAGAAAAGAAGTGTGTGTTGTGGGGTGGGGTGGGGGGTTGGGGGGGGGGGGGGAGGTGAGCTTTGTGAAGAGAACAGACGAACATGACTGGGCTCGTGGGTTATCACGGATTAGTTCCCCCTATAATCAAGATAAAGTACTAACATCCATCACAAAATTTAACGGGCATTTGGTATATTATACACTACTAGAAATCCGGTAATTAGCGACCAAAAAACCGATCAACTTTGGTCGGTTATGGCCTATTACCGACCAAAATGCGACCAAATACGTTTGGACGGTATTTTAGTGGTCGCTTTAGTATAACGACCAAAGTTGGTCAGTAAATTAAATTCAAAAAAAGAAAATATTGCAAAAAAAAAAAAAAACTCGACCAAAGTTGGTCGGTATTTTAATTATGTAATCAAAGGATTTATCGTCTGGGAATCGAAAATTCTTACTAGTTCTCCGCACAACTTTTGTGCAGTTGAAGACTATCATGCCAGTTTAATGAAAAACTGGCTGGCTCTGACTACCTTGCGGAGCAAACAAAAGATGTCAAAATCGCCCCAATATCTGCTAGTCTGGTTCGACTCGAACTTCTGTCATGTCAAGCTTCCTGACCTGCTTTGTACCAGCCGGTATTTTGTGTACTTCGGGGCGCTGACTAGCCCTGCTCAACGCCCTACACCCTTCTCTTGAGCGCTTCATTGAGGACTTTAGCCACATCTTAACCCATGGTTGAAGAATGAGGCGATCAAGAAAGTCCTCCCCTGGAAAGAATATCCGAAGATCTTCTCTTTCCTTTTCATTACAAACAAAACGAAGGGGCTTATCGGCAGAAACGAATCAATTTAGATAGTCCTTTGTGGCTCCGGTGGCGACTAGATCAACGCGTTATTGCTTCAAGAGAAACTCCCATTGAAGTTCACTATGAATCTTTAGGTATTTTTTATGAGATTTATGGACACTATCTAATAGTAAGAAGTCTAAAAAACGAATCCTTTTTATATACATTCGAACCACTGTTGGTCATATTGCTCTTTATCGAGAAATCGAAGAAGCTATACAGGGGTTTTCTCGGGCCTATTCATACGGTACCTAACGTAATTCTATGATACCCGTGGGACTTCGGGGCTCTCCGGTTTAGCTAGGTCCATAGTTCGGAATTTATATCGATAAAAGGAAGTTTTACAATCACGGGGTGTGTATTGTGGCAGGATACTATTCTACCACTAGACCATTGGTGCATTTTGTTTTAAGATTGTCTTTTTTATTTATTTATACTCTTTAATTGTATTTTCGCACGAAAATAACCGACCAAAGTTGGTCGGTTTTATTAAAAAATAAAATTACCGACCAAAGTTGGTCGATTTTTTAAAATGACTGGCCGAATTTACCGACCAAAGTTGGTCGGTTTTTTCAATATTAATTTTTATTTATTTTAATTGCAAAAACCGACCAAAGTTGGTCGGTTTCTTGAAAAATATATCTCGCGGGACTCAAAAATAGTTTCCCGCATTTTTGCGCCAAAGAAAACCGACCAAAGTTGGTCGGTTTCGTAAAAAAGAAGTTAAAAATTAAAATATTTTAAACGTTTTTGGCCGGTTTTTTTACCGACCAAAGTTGGTCGGTTTTTCTTGGTCGGTTTTTGCCGAATTTCTAGATACACATATTTAGTTTAAGATTACAAGACTCAAATAGTTTTTCTTACTTTTTAAAACTTTATGCTTAGTCAAATTATGATTCATTTTAAAACAAAGCATCTTAATTGGCATCATATTGATGTTAGTAAAGTGTGTATAGATCTTTGAGTAGTCTCACTTTAATAGGCAAGATGGTAGCTTTTTTTTCTTTCTTTTTTCTTGTTTTGGCTAATCATTGCAAGTTCTGAGATAGACTGTCTTCAAGCATAAGTCTTTCCTAGTAAAAGTATTTTTTGCTTTCTGCAACTTTGAATCTCATCTTCAAGTACTTTCACACACAGAATTGGAACAGCCATCAATCCTAACAATTCTGCCCTACATAGCTTTGAACTATTCCAACATTTAAAACTAGCCGACGAGCGATTGGTGTTTGCTCTAATAATAAAAAACTACTAAAACACCATCTGAGATAAGTTGGTCAAAATTTTCAATATTCACTAGACTAAAAAGAATCAAGAAAACAAACAACACTTAACTACGTTGTCTCTGCAGTTAAGTATTTCGTGTAAATTGGCAACTTCACTTCTCTTTTAGATTAGTTCTACCTTTTTTCCCCCCTCTAATTGATTCTAGTTCAGTCATTTGCTGTAATTTCACTCTTATTATATGCAATGAATAAGGCCAATCGTTTTGCTCCTCCTTGCACCCTTTCACTTCTATGGAAGCAGAAACTATGTCACTTTTTATCAGGCCAGCAATTAAGCCCAAATGAAATACCAGCATGCTTATTATTTACTTCCTCTCATACTCAACCAATTTAACAGTTAGATGACTTATTCCAGTTGATAATAACTGAGTGTTACCAAACAAATAAGTTAGTTGAAAATAAAGCTCATTAATTTTGCTCTCAAGTGTATGAACCTGTTTCTTTGTTGACAGGTGTCAGTGAGACTTAAATTTGTAACTTCTATTTGATCTGATACCATGTTAGAGTGGGGTGAAATTCAAAAATAACCAGATTTACAAACGGTTATTCAAAAATGGTCACAGTTTCAAAAGTAATCGAAATTTAGCCACTTTCATATAAAGATAAATCTAAACAAAAACACTGTTCAAAATCCGGAAAAATACTCCAGTATAATATACTGGAGTTCCAGTATATTATACTGAAACTCCAGCATATTATACTGGAGTTCTAGAGTTTCAGTATAATATATTCCGGTCCAGCATAATATGCTGGAAGTTCATACATATGTGCTCCAATATCCGGTATATTATGCTGGAACTTTTCGCGTGTTAGAGTTCCAGCATAATATGCTGGAAGTTCATACACAGGTACACGATCTCCAGTATATTATGCTGGAACTTTCCGTGTTGCAGCAAAATAGAGG